TTTCCCTTTTCCTCTCTTTTCCTTTTCCCTACTTTCCCTCTTTCCCTTCTTCCCTCTTAGTCCCATGCTTTCCGCTCTTTCCCCCTCTTTCCTCATTTCCCTGCTCATCGCGCTCAGCTTTCAGCTCTCTCTGCTCTCATCGAGCTCTCATCGCTCATCTCGCTCTCTCGGCAGTCTCGACTCTTGCACGTCTCGCACGACCTCGACTTTCTTGCTCTCTCACCTTTTTTTCTCCTCTTCACCTTTCTCGCTCTTTCTTCCTTCATGTCCTCATACCCTTTCCTTCTTCCGTCAACCTTTCTTTTCGCCGCTCTCAAGCTTTTTCCTCCTTTCTTCTTTCTCCGCTTTGACTTCTTCCCTTCTCCGACATGCCTAACGTCCCTCCTCCTACTCCTCTTCTTTCTTGCTCCCTTCCTTACAATCTGCCTTCTTCTAATCGTCCTCCTCCTTTTTCTCCCCCCCTCCCCTCCTCACTTCCTTCCAATCCCCACTTTATCTCTTCCTCACTCTTTTCCTCCTCCTCACCCTCCCCCTTCCCTTCCCTCCTCCTCTCGCATCTCCTCCTCCCTTCCATTCCCGTCCCCCTCCCCCCTCCCTTCCTCTCTCTACTCCCATTCTCCTCCTCCCTTATTCCTCTCGCCTCCCCCTCCTTCCTGCCCCCTCTTGCCCATCACCAGTCCCTTTCTCCCTCCAAAAAAGCCGTCATCATCAAGTGGTTCCCCGCAGACGGAGGCTGGCGGCTGAAAGCTTCTTCCGTTGAGGGGCGGCTACAATATGCCGTTGACGGGGGGTCTAGGGGGGGTCTAGGGGGGTCCCTAGGTGGGGTCTAGGGGGGGTCTAAGGGGGTATAGGTGGGGTCTAGGGGGGTCTAGGTGGGGGTCTAGGGGGGTCTAGGGGGGTCTAGGGGGGTCTAAAGGGGGTCTAGGGGGGTCTGGGGGGTTAGGGGGCCTCATGGGAGGGGGCTCCGGGGCCTCCTCGTTCTATTTGCTATCTCATCTTTTTTTAATTCTTCTCTCTCTCTAATTTCTCTGTAACTTTCTCTCGTCTCTGTTTTTTTTCTTTCTCCCTTTCTTTCTCTCTTCTCTCTCCATCTCTCTCATCTCTCTCTCCTCTCTCTCTCTTCGTCTCTCTCCTCTCTCTCTCTCTCTCTCTCTCTCTCTCTCTCTCTCTCTCTCTCTCTCTCCTCTTTTCTCCCTCTTTCCCTCTTTCCCTCTTTCCCTCTTTCTCTCTTTTCTTTCTATCTGTCTTTTCTGGTCTTTTCCTCTTTTCTTTCCTTGCAGTCCTCTTTTCTCGTCTCTTTCTTTCTGCTTTCTCCTCTCTCCTTCTCCTCTACTCCTCTCTCTTCTCTTCGCCTTCATCCTCTTCTCTTTTGCTTCCTCACGCTCTTCTTCTCTCTCTTCGCTCTCTCCTACTGCTCTCTCTACTCCTACTATCTCCTCTCTTCTTTCTGCCCGCTTTCTGTCTTAACCTCCTTCCCCTCACCTTCTTCCTCTCCTTGTCCGCTCTCGCTTCTTCCCTTCTATCCTTCTTTTTGTCTTTTCCTTCCTCTTTTTCTCTCTGATCCTCCCTCTTCCTTTCCTCCCTCGTACCCTCTCCCCCCCCTCCTCCCTCCCCTCTTCCGGTTTCCTGAGCAAATGTTCATGGGGATCAAAGCTGAGGACTCCTCTCTTCCCTTTCCTCTTCCTCTTTCCATTCTCTTCCATCCTGTTTCTCTATCATTTTCTTTTCCTTGTTGTTTTTATTCTTCTTTTTCTGTTTCTTTTTCTTTGCCGACTTACCCTTTTCCTTTCATTTTATTCATCCTCCCCCTCCCCTCCCCCTCCCTCTCCCCTTTTTATCTCTCCTCCTCCTCCTCTTTCCCCATCGCCCCTCTCTTCCTCTCTCTTCGCTCTCCCCACCTCCCGTCTCCCCTTCCTCCCCTCGTCCTCCCTCTCACCCTCTGCCTTCCCCTTCCCTCCTTCTTCCTTCTTCCGCCCTTTCCCCTCCCTCCCCTCCCTCCCAGCCTCTACTCCCCTTCTTTCTGCCCCTTCCCCCCCTCTCCTGATGCCTTTGGTCTGTTGCTCTTTGAAGCTCGCCTCTCCCCCCCCCCCCACCCGGCCGTCTCGCTGCAGCGCCCCCTTCTGCTCCTGTTCTCGGGCTGATGTCTAATCTTTCCCCCTTTTTTTTGCTTTGTTTTTTGTTTCGTTGTTTACTCCTTTCTTGCTGTTCTTTTCTTTCCTCTTCTTGTTATTTTGTTTTGTTGTTGCTGCCTATCCGTTCGCTGCTTGTATGTCATCTGCGTGTGTTTTTCTATTTTTTTTCTTTCTTGATTCATATTCTTGCCTCACTCCTACATTCCTCCACTTTTTTTTCCTTACTTCTCTCTCCTGTGTGTTTCCTGCTCTCTCTCTGCTCTCTCTACTCTCTCTCTCTTCCGTATTTTATAGGCTTTAGTATATATATATATATATATAAGGTATATTATATAATATATATAATGATATATATAATATTAATAGTCTCTAATCTCTCTCTCTCTCTCT